GAATCATGACCTGAGCCGAAGGCAGGCACTTAACGACTGAGCCACCCAGGCGTCCCTAAAACAACCAATTTTTATGTTTATGAATTTTGTGGTTCAGAAATTCAGAAAGGACACAGAGGGGATGGCTTGCCTCTGCTCTATAATGTCTCATGTCTCAGTTGGAAGACTCAAAGGCTGGGCACTAGAATCATCTGATGGTGACTTTACTCAGAAGTCTGGTGGTGGATGCTGGCCGGGAGGTGCATTGCCTTTCCACATTGGCTTCTCTGTACAACCTCTTTGTAAACTAATTTGGGCTTCCTCACTGCACGGTGGCTGGTTTTGCCAAAGCAAACTTCCCAAAAAGAGAGAGCTAGGGTAAAGCTCTATGCTTATGACCTACTCTCAGAAGTCACATAGCATTACTTCTGTGCACTCTATTGGTCAGAGCAGTCACAAGCTTGCCCACCTTCAAAGGGAGGGAAAATAAATTACACCTCTTGATGAAGAGTGACAAGTTTCTGGAAAAGGATGTGGAACTGAAAGCATTCCTATGTCCATTTTTGGAAAATAGAATCTGACATCAATATCATTTAGAGTATATATGCCAGAGTGCTACTGAGAAGCATTTTACAAATAATATTTACTTAACAATAAATTTTACCAATGATATGTACACCTTTTTTTCCTTGCATTTCACTGCCTTTCCTTTGTAGAAGTGCTCCTTTGTCAGTTTGCTCAGAGGGGATCAATTTTTGAGGCGTTGAGATGTCTTAAAATATTCTTTTTTCACCACTGAATTTGGATGATGCTTTGGGTAACTATAGAATTCTGGGTTCAAAATTCTTTTTCTTAACATTTGAAGATACTCATTTTTTTTTCTTGATTTCAGTATTGCTGATGAAAATCTGACTTCAATGATTCTCATTCCTTTTGTAGGTTATGTCTGATAACTTTTTGGACTGCCTCTTCTTTTCCAAGCTTTGAGGTATAATTGACAAATCAAATTGTATATAGTGTAAAACATGAAGTTTTGATATATGTATACATTGTGAATTGTTTACTACAAAGAAGCTGATTAACAACTCTACACCCCAAATAATAGTTACTTTTTGTTTTTCTGCAAGCACACAATTACGATCTACTCTCTCAGAATTGTTTTTCATTCTGGAGTCTCTAAAATTTCACTATAAATTGTTCAAACATCACCATACTATGTTCGATGTCTCCCGTTTATTCTACTAGGAAGGATGCTTTCAATTTAAGGATCTGTATCTTTTATCTGTTATTTCTTCCCCTCTATTCCCTGTATTCTCTCCTCCTGGAATTCATGGACGTTAATGCTTTTGGATTGATCCTTTACATGTCTCAATATTTCTTTTAAACATTCCATCATCCCAGTATAGCCTAGTGTTTAAAAGACTCTGGAACAGCCACTGGGTTCAAAGCCTGGTCCTCCTAATTACTAGATGTGTGACCTTGGGTGAGTTATAATCCTTTCTGTGCCATATGCTTCTCATCAGTACCATGGGACTAATCCTAGTGCGTTCCTGACAGGGTTGTTATGAGAATTATATGAGTTTTAGATCTGTAAATAGCTTGGAACAATGTTCTGAAGACAGTAAGCCCTATATATAGTAAGCTACTCTTCTTATTATCATTCCCTCCTGCTGCCCAATGGACTAACGCTCTACACCAATCTTCAGCTATGTCTACTCTGCTGTTCAGCCCATGTACTGAGCCTTTGTTCTCAGCAATTATATTTTTCATTTCTAAAATCTTTGTGTTTTTTTTTGAAAAGTCATTTGTTCTTGCTTTATGTATCAAATACCCTCCTATCTGAGAATATTACTTTTACATATTAGTTATTAGTTGTTTCACTGAGTGTGAGTTTTCCTATTTGGTTTTTCTTTCAGAGTTTACAGTCCTTAAGTAGCTAGTGATAATTTACTATGAACTCATCCTTGCGGTTATGATTTCCTGCTAGTTCTCAGTGCAGCCTTCTTGGTAGGAGAGGTGAAAGCAAGTTGCTCAGGGTTATTGTCTGTGTTATACAAAGGGCCGTGGGGTGAAGATGGACTGCCAGTTTTGGTATCTGAGTTCCCTATGTCTGGTTGCTCCTCACTCTTACCCAGTTACATCAGACATTTCCTTCATCTCAACACCTGCTCCTGGAGAATAAACACTTGTACTGTAGCAACTGGTTTTCATTGTATTTTATTACTCTATATTATTGTAGCTGTTCCCAATTCTGGAACCAAACACAGTAAATGGCCCATAGTAAATGCTCAGTTAGTGTTTATTAAATGCACAAAGAAAGGAAAAACAGAAAGTTAATTAAATTTTAAAACCTGCCATGGCTTGTTTTGAGACTTTAAAGCAAGTTACTTTAACACACATTTATTACATGCCTCTGCTAAATATTTTATATACATTACCTAGTTTAATAATATTCACCACAACTCAGTGAAGAGAATTGTATTCATTAGGATATAAGTTCAGCTCCTGTTATAGAGACCCAGGATACAGCAGCCTATACTTGATAGGAATTTATTTCTCCCTTATGTAACAACCTAGATTTAAGCAATCTAGGATTGTTATGGTGACTTACAGTGTCAGGGAACTAAACTCCTTCTGTCTCATTGCTCAGTCATTTTGAGTTTGCTACCCTTGGTTTATGGCCTAACATGACTCATCACTGTATCTTGATTCTAATCAGTAAGGATGGGAGAGGGAGAAGGAAAGGGCACAACTTTTCCTTTTAAAAGCATGACTTGAGAGTGCACACATCTCTTATGCTCATGTATCATTGGCTAGAACTAAGTCACATGATCTAACCGCAAAGGAGTGTGAATCTTTATTTTTGGCAGTCCGGTGCCCTACTACATTTGAGAGTTCTGTTACTATAGAAGATGGTAGGAATGAAGATTTGAGACCATTACTGCTTATATTTTAAATGAATCTAAGAATACAAAAAACCACTTCCAATTAAATTGTGACTATACTTTCTTATCACTTAGAATTATTGTGTATTTATTGAAACATAACTTTTTGTTTAATTTAGACATTAGCTGAATTATATATCACTTTTGTCCATACATAAAAAGGGATATGTAATGGGCCCCTGCGTGGCTCTTGGTTAAGCGACTGCCTATGGCTCAGGTCATGATCTTGGAGTCCTGGGATCGAGTCCCACATCGGGCTCCCTGCTCAGCAGGGAGTCTGCTTCTCCCTCTGACCCTCCCCCCTCTCGTGCTCTCTCACTCTCTCTCTCTCTCTAAAATAAATAAATAAAATCTTTATAAAAAAAAGGGATATGTAAGCAAAAAATAAATCATTTAAGATACTTAAAATTTTTCTTCACATTCAGAGTCTGACTATTCTCAATCCCCAGAAGCATAAATATCTGAATTTTTCTACACAGTGTTACCCTCTGTACCATAAAGAATGCTTGTGACATAGCATTTCTTTAAAAAGTGCCTCACTATTTGGGGTGCCTGGGTGGCTCAGTCGGTTAAGTGTCTGACTCTTGATTTCCAATCAGGTCTCCATCTCAAAAGTCATGAGTTCAAGCCCTGCATTGGGCTCTGTGCTGGGTGTGGAGCCTACTTAAAAAAAAAAAAAAGTGCCTCACTATTATCTCTAGTATTGTCTTAAAAACAGGCAACACCCATTCTGCAGAGTTTGGTGCTGACTATGACTAAGAGAAGCTAGTAGCTTGGTACTGATTCTGGACAGCCATGGATCTAACTAAAAATTGGGGTCTTATGAATATAGAAGGGGAGAATGGGATATTAGGGGACAACTAGCAGTGATAACATGGTTATCACTTCCATACCATATATACAAGGTAAATGAAACCCAGGGAATGGACTAATTTGCCCAATGATACACAATTATTAAGTCATGGAGCCAGACTCAAGCCCAGGTGTATCCAGATTTACAAAACTACTCTAAAACACAAATACGGAATTGACAAGGCTTTGAGGACATTGGCCTACTCATCTACTGTGTTGTGGGAGTGTAAATCACTACCACATTTTAGGGAATGTGATTTAGTTAAAAAAAAAAAATAGATGTGCTTCTGTTTAAACCCAACACTTCCAGGAGTTTAGTTATAGAAATATTAGTACAAATGTGCAAAGATACACATATAAGGTCTACATTAGTGGGTCACTTCTACAGGCTTTAAATTAGACACTGGTACTGCAAATAAGGATAGGGGATGGTGGCAGGTAGGTTTAAATTTCAGAGCCAGCGGTGGTTAATATTGTCGTTGGTGCAAGCCAAGTGTCAACAACCAGCAGCTGCAGCAGCAAAGACCCCACTAGACCAGATCTATGGTGGGATTTGGGGAGTTCATCTTACCAGATAGTCTCCAAGATAGCTTCTCTGGCCATCCCAGAGATTCTGTGAGTTGCCCTGTATTTTTCAGTGAATTCCTTTTCTCCTTAAACGGTTACACTTGTTTCTACTGAGTGTAACTAAGAACTGTAACTGATACACTGGCCTCATTTCTTTTCCTGTAAATTGCCAAGTTGTTATTGCCTTAGGACCTTTGCTCCTGTGTTCCCTCTGCCCTGATCTCATGGGGCTGGTTCCTTTGTATCCCTCAGGATTTAGGCAAATGTCACCTTGTAGAAACAGCTGAGATCCCCCATCTAAAGAAGTTCTACACCCACACTTTTCATTCTTTATCAAATATCTATGTTTTATTTTATTCACAGAACTTACTACTAGGTGAAATTATTTAGTTCACATATATTTGTTTTCTTGTTTATTTCTTCTCCTCCCCAAAAAAGAAACTGCAGAAATTATCTCACCTGGAAAAGTGCCTGACACACACAGTGTGGGCACAATAATATTTGCAAAATGAATGAAAGAATTTTATATCTTTGTCTTGTAATACTTATGAAATTGGGAAATCCTTTGAATATTCATCAATAGGAAATTAGTTAAATAACTGGGGCATGCGATGCAATAGAATATTATGTACCTATTAAAAAGGTTTTTTCGGTAGCTGCGTACGTTGAAGGACACAACCGGCGGAATTGGTGCCTTCTGCAAGATTGAAATCATGGCAGGTCCAGAAACTGATGCTCAATTCCATTTCACTGGTATCAAAAAATATTTCAACTCTTATACTCTCACAGGTAGAATGAATTGTGTACTGGCCACATACGGAGGCATTGCTTTGATGATCTTATACTTCAAGTTAAGGTCTAAAAAAACACCAGCTGTGAAAGCAACATAAATGAATTTTAACCTGTACCTCATCTGTTAAGTTCCCATGCCTGGAGAAGCTAATGTCAACTCATCATGTGATACTCAATTTGTACAATAAATTATGAACCTGGAAAAAAAAAAAAGGTTTTTTCTATTTCTATATCTTAACATGGAAAGAATTCTATAACACTGCTAAGTAAAACAGTTAAATGTAAATGAAAGTAAATATAAGGTGATATTTCATATGTGTAAAATGCCTAGAAATAATATGGGAAGATACTAAACAAACTGTTAAGAATAGTTAACTCAGTAAAATGGGAATTCTAAGGTAGAAAAAGAAACCCACCACTTCTTGCTTAATTAATTATTGCAACAATCATGCATGCATTGAGTCTTTCTTTTGGTTTTAAACAAACTGTCTGCAAAAATAGATTTATTAGAAAAATATTAAGCTTTGATATCCTTTGTAATGAAAGGAAAAGTTGAACACACAACTACTGAAAGGGCAGAAATGATACTGGGCCTCAGAAACTCCCAGAAACAGAGACATAAAAATTTTCAGATCTTTCCACCAGTCTCCTACCTCAGCTTCTCTATGCATCTCAGCTTCACTCTCTCTTACTGCTATACTTCTGCTACCCGAGTCTCAAGCTGGGGATGGTGGTTAAACACTAGAGAAAGCTGCCCTCTTCAGCTTTATTGAAGATTTCTTAGAACCATCATAGAGCCTATGTACTTACCTGCAAGTTTGTTCTAGGTGAAAGAGGAAGTAGTAAGGGAGATGGTTTGTAAAAAAAAAACCACCAATCTGACATTGAAACTGGTACTCTGAACTGTCTTGCCTCCACAGAATACATTTAGAATAATGTAAATGATGCAAGTTTCCAGTGTTGGACATACATGTTGAGAACGTTTACCTTGTCATTAGGATAATTGAGTCTGTCTTCTAGATCACCAATGCCTTTATCTTCACATAATCTGTAGGCAACAGCTCATCTTTAAGCATTGTTGAGAAGCCTTCCACAAACAATTTGGGAGTCATATGTAACTCGGATAGGGACTGTCAATAGTTGCAGTACTAAATCAGTTCTTATAAACCTTGGTTAAACCTTAATCACATTTATTTAGATTGTTGATATTTTTACAAAATATTTTTGCCCAAATCAGTCAGTCCCATCAAAATACACAAGGTAAAGTTTTAAAACTGCTGATGTATTAGAACAGACTACCTGCTGGTTTGTTTTATTTCAGTGTCTTAAAAGAATAAAGGATTATTGCTTTCTCAAAGCAATTCAAATGTCAATCAACTGATGAATGGATAAACAATATGGGCACATCCATACAATGGACTATTATTTGGCCATAAAAAGGAATGAAGTACTAATACATGCTACCTGGTTTGTTTTATTTCAGTGTCTTAAAAGAATAAAGGATTATTGCTTTCTCAAAGCAAATCAAATGTCAATCAACTGATGAATGGATAAACAATATGGGCACATCCATACAATGGAATATTATTTGGCCATAAAAAGGAACGGAGTACTAATACATGCTACCTTAAAAACATTATGTGAAGTGAAAGAAGCCAGGCACAAAGGACCACATATTGTATGATTCCATTGATATGAAAAGTCTAGAAGACATAAATCTATATAAACAGAAAGTAATTACTAGTTGCCTAGGTCCTGGGTGGGGAGCAGAAATGGGGAATTCAAGGACAACAGCTAAGTGGTGTGGGTTTCTTTTCATGGCAATGAAAATGGTCTAAATTGATTTGGGTGCTAGATGCATGATTCTGTGAAGATACTGAAAGCCAGTGAATTGTATACTTTAAATGACTGAATTTTATAACATGTGAATTATATATCAATAAAGCTGTTTAAAAAATGTATCCATACAAAATATAGAAAGAACTTACAAAACTCAACAGCCAAAAAACAAATAATCCAACTAAAGAATGGGCAGAGGACATGAACAGACATTTCTCCAAAGAAAACATACAGATGGCCAACAGACACATGAAAAGATGCTCAAAATCACTCATCATCAGGGAAATGCAAATCAAAACTACAATGAGATATCACCTCACACCTTTCAGAAGGGCTAAAATCAACAACACAAGAAACAAGGTGTTGGCAAGGGTATGGAGAAAAAGGAACCCTCATGCACTGTTGGTGGACATGCAAACTGGTGCAGCCACTGTGGAAAACAGTACGGAGGTCCCTCAAAAAGTTAAAAATAGAACTACCCTATGATCCAACAATTTCACTACTGGGTATTTACCCAAAGAATACAAGAACACTAATTCAAAAGGATACATGCACCCCTATTTTTATAGCAGCATTATTTACAATAGCCAAGATATGGAAGCAGTCCAAGTGTCCATCAATTAATGAATGGATAAAGAAGATGTGGTATATATAGGCAATGCAATATTATTCAGCCATAAAAAAGAATGAAATCTTGTCATTTGCAGTGACATGGATGAAGCTAGAGAGTATAATGCTAAGTGAAATAAGTCAGTCAGAGAAAGACAAATACCATATGATTTCACTTATATGTGGAATTTAAGAAATAAAAAAAGATCATGGGGGAAAAAAGAAAGGGGCAAACCAAGGAACAGATGCTTAACTATGGAGAACTGATGGTTACCAGAAGGGAGGTTGGTGGGGGGATGGGTAAAAGGTGAAATGGACTAAGAGTACATTTATTTTGATGAGCACTGAGTAATATACTGGATTTTTGAATCACTATATTGTAAACCTGAAACTAAAATAACCCTGTATGTTAACTACCCTGGAATTAAAATAAAAAATATAGAGGGTTTTTGTTAAAACAAAACAAAACAAAACAAAACATGTATCCATAGACAATAGGTAAAATTGGCAGTGCTGTATTTCAATAAATTTTATTTATAAAAATAGGTGGCTGGTCCGTGGGCCATAGTTTGCTGATCTCTGTTCTAGGGTAGTAAAATCTCATAACTTTTAGCTGGGTACTGACTTACGAGGAAAAAAAGTATTGCCTTTCCCAGCCTCTCTTGTAGAAGCTTGTGTACAACTTCCGAGAATTGTCTTTAAATGGAACAAGTGTGCTACTCTTTACATATCTCCATCCTCTGTTCACTAGAAGACTAGAACTCTAGCAGCCATCTTGGACCAGGAAATGACTTTGGAAAATGGTAATCACACACAGTGGGGCAACAAGCTAGCAGGAGCCTGGAATCCTCACCCACGAATGACCATTCTAACCCCAAGCTAATTTCGCCAGATTTCTTGAAAGAAAAAAATAAGTTTATATCATATAAAAAGCATAATAAATAACTTTTATTTTGGTGCTTTCTGTTACTCTGTGCTCACAGCTAAACTTAGTTCCTACTGGGGCGCCTGGATGGCTCAGTCGGTTAAGCATCTGCCTTCGGATCAGGTTATGATCCCAGCGTCCTGGGATCGAGTTCCACATAGGGCTCCTTGCTCGTCGGCTAGTCTGCCTCTCCCCTTCCCCACTACCCCCCGCTCGTGCTCTCTCTCTCGCTCTCTCTCTCAAATAAATGAGAGAGAGAGAGAGCGAGAGAGAGAGAGATACCATGAAAGGGGGAAGGGTCAGAAGGAGGAGACTCCCCGCTGAGCAGGGAGTCCGATGTGGGACTCAGTGCACGGACTCCAGGATCATGACCTGAGCCGAAGGCAGTCACTTAACAACTGAGCCACCCAGGCGCCAATATGAACTTAGTTCCTACTACTAAACCCTCAAGGAATTAAAAAACAACTCTGCTTCCTAAAGGGATTCAAGTAGATACTAGGGACATCCAATACCCAATTCTATGGACATTATCATCCAATTCTATGTGTGTGTGTTTTTTAACAGCATTTCATTCCTACATTTGCTCTTAGCCTAAAGGCCAAGAATGGATTATAGCACTTCATTCTGATTTTACTGGCCTTTTGATCCAGTGTCTTCCAACTACTTGGGTTCATACCTGTAAGGAAGATACAGGAGAATACATTCTCTGATTATCCAATCTTTTGTAACTTTTTAAAAAATGTCATAAATACAGGCAACACCATATAGAACGGTTCCACTGTTTATTAAATCCCTCTTCTGTCCAAGTCCCGATCACCATGTGCACAGCTATTGTGGGTTTCTCTATAAGTCCAGTAATGTGAACATGAGCTTGTCACCTCCTCTGCTCTACAGGATAGAAAAACAAAACAAAACAAAAAAACAACCCAAACAAAACAAACAAACAAAAAAACACCAGCACAGGCCTCTGGTGGGGTTCAACTTTACCTTGACATGATTAAGATAATGTACGAAGAGCCCTAAAAGTGCCACAAATGATCTCTAAATACAATATAATGTTTACTTCTGTTCATAAAAAGATATAGGGCTTCAGAGTCAGGATAGTGTATCTTCTCCATAAGGGTGTGAGGCATGAAACAGACCTAATATCTTCATGATCCCCTCCCCAATAAAGTATCTCTGTGTTCCAGAGTTACCCTGGTAGGTATTGAATGTTTGTATCCCCTTAAAATTCATATGTTGAAGCCCTAACCCCCAAATGTTGCTATATTTGGAGATGAGGCCTTTGGAGATTTAAGGTTAAATAAGGTCACAAGGGTGGGGCCCTGATCCTATAAAATTAGTGTCTTTATAAGAAAAAACATCAGCAATACCTCTGACCCCCTCCTCTCTCCTCACACAGGCACTGAGGAAAGGTCATGTGAGGATATAGCAAGAAGATGGCCATCTGCAAGCTAGGAAGAGAGTTCTCACCAGAAACTGAATTGGCCAGACCCTTGATCTTGGACTTGTGAGAAAATAAAGTTTTGTAATTTAAGCATCCCATCTGTGATATTTTGTTATGGCAGCCTGAACACACTATACCCACTCTGTAAGGATGGTGTGGAAAAGAAGGTCCTGCTGCAGCATCATTTTCCAATTACCCCCTTGATAAAATCCACTATAATACTGATATAGTCATAAGCTGGCTTCACATATTCTGAACCCGCTTGATATTTCAACTTGACTCTTATTCTCATGGGTGACTTGGTGGATTTTGGAGGTTCCCTGCTGGAGTGCCTTCTGACTGCAACTCCTGTGACAGGCCCAATGACCAACCACCCTGAGTTGCCTGGGACTG